CCTTCCCTTGAGCCCAGGACAGCTCTCGATGGCATGCCCCCAGGTGAGCAAGTACCCTCCTGCCAGTAATCCCTTCCTCTGTCTGCAGCCCAATTGCTCTCAGAGGCAGATTCTGAAAGCAGTTTGCAGTCGTACTAAGCCCCTCCCCAGAGCCCTGTCCTCAGCCCCTCCCTCCAAGCACCCCACTCCTCCTGTAAACCCCAACGATCCCAGCATGGCCGGGCTCAGTGGGGGAACCAGTGGAGTCACTGAGGCCGTGCTTCTGTTCTCAGGCTGGGTTCATCGAACACCTTAATGGTTCCTTCCTGTTTGACAGCATGTACTCGGAGGATGTGGAGGGCAACAAGCTGTCCTATCTTCCTGGTGTCAGCGAGCTCCTCGGGGCATATCCTTTCAAGCTCCTCCTGCCCCTGCTGGCAGAACCCAGGGTACCTGTGCCACCACCGTGCCTCCGGCAAGTCCTGGCCTCTCGGAACCCCAGCCTTCTCCTCTCTCTCGTGAGCACCTGGGAGGGGCAATCGCCACTTCCTAGCAGTGTATCCACAACACGATTCAGAGCAGCAAAGTCCGAGAGCGCCGGCAGACAGTGCTGTCTGGATGCCGCCGAAGTCCAGGCCTGGATGGCAGGTTGTCAGGTTGGGGTGTCAAAAATGCTTTGTTCGGTGGCCTCCCTCCATTGTGTCACATACATTCTTTGTCATTTTCTCAACACCCACCCACACCCCCATCACCACCGCCTTCTGACCCGTCCTACTTGATAGTCAGGGTCAGGCCATTCGAAACTGGAGCTTGAATCTTGGCCTGCGTCCTAAAAACCGTATGCTTTCCCAAAAGGTCCCTTGCTGGATTGAGATTCACTCTTGAAAACCCAACATTCTAGAAGCCATCACAGCAGGGGGCAGGAGCATGGTGACAAGTGTTGTCAAAATCCCAGACACCGTATCAGTTCCTCTTGGTAACTGGCAGATCAAAATAAAGCCTCGATAGGGGCCAAACCACACGAGTCTCCAGGGGGAGAACTTCTCCCATATGAGTTTACCAAGGAGCTATCACAGGATTTGAACCGACGGACGCTCAACCCACTTAGTGAGGGAGAGGCCTTTATTGTTTGATTTTGCAAAATCAAGCCTCCAATCCCAGAGACAAATCCGGCAAAAAGGGGAGCACATCTCACCGCCTCCCTGGAAGCATTTTATCCCCTCGTTCACAAGCCCCTCCCTGGGTTCCTTACAGGCTGAGTACAATGGGGTTAATAATCCTTCCCAACCATGACCTTTGCCTGAGAGTCTTTGCCCCCTACCCCCAATTTTTTAACTGATCAGTCCCTATATTCCATACCCCAGGCGCCTGAGCCCTAGTAATCATCCTGAAGGCTATCAATTGGTGCCCTGGTTCTTCAGTAAGGACCTGACTCTTTGTTCTCTGTTTGCGGAAGATGCACCAGCCTGGTGACTTCATTCCCACAGCGTGGAGGTGAAATAGGAGGAGACGTGGTGAGGATGGCCAGGGCCCTGTCTAGGCAGCTAGCCTGCACTACCACCGGGCTCTGCCACCTCCCATCTGGTGACCTGCAGACTCACTGTTGAATCGTAGCTATAGCATGCTATGGCTGGGTGCCTCTGGGAAAG